CAGGACATGTATTACTTTAAAATCAAAATTGCATTTATAAAGAAATTTAGGATACATGTTTCAAGGACACATATATTTTCTCTTTTCTCAGTGAAGACATAAGACGACTATGCAGACTTCCCGAATTTAGAAGGACATTTGTTACATGCCAAGTATAATACAATGTCTATCAGGTCATGTACTTTGAAGACAGTCTGGTATGCAGGTTTGTAGTAAGGAGAGAACTGGACTAGAAATTTATATTTAGGAGTTATTAGTATATATATGGTCACTGAAGCCTTGGAAATGAATGAGATCACCATGGCATAAAAATTGAGATAGGAATAAACTGACCAGGACACAGTGATGAGGTGCATGGACATTTAAGTGACAGGCAGAAGACTGAAGTCCTGGAAGGAAGAATAAAGAAGCCAGAGATCTAGAAGGAACACTAGGTAAGTGGGTTTCAGAAATCAAAAGATGTAAATGTGGCAGGCCATGGTAAGTATCAAATGCTACAGAGACATCAAGTAAAATAAGTAAAAACGTCCACTAAAAAAAGGAACCCTCATCATTTTCGTGGGTATGCAAATTGGTGCAGCCACTGTGGTAGAGAGTACGGAGTTTCCTCAAAATATTAAAAATAGAACTACGATATGATCCAGTAATTCCACTACTGGGTGTTTGTCCAAAGAATATGAAAACACTAGCTCAAAAGGAATTATGTGCCCCTATGTTTATTGTACCACTATTTACAATAACCAAGTTATGGAAGCAGCCCAAGTGTCCATCAATAGATGAATGGACAAAGAGATGAGGTATATATATACACAATGGAATATTACTCAGCCGTAAAAAGAATGAGATCTTGGGGGCGCCTGGGTGGCTCAGTGTGTTAAAGCCTCTGCCTTCGGCTCAGGTCATGATCCCAGAGTCCTGGGATTGAACCCCGCATCGGGCTCTCTGCTCAGAGGGAGCATGCTTCCTCCTCTCTCTCTGCCTGCTTCTCTGCCTACTTGTGATCTCTGTCAAATAAATAAATAAAATCTTAAAAAAAAAAAAAGAATGAGATCTTGCCATTTGCAACAGCATGGATGGATCTATGGAGTATAATGCAAAGGGAAGCAAGTTATTTGGAGAAAGACAAGCACCATACGATTTCACTCATCTGTAGAACTAATGAAACAAAACAAATGAAGAAAAAAGAGACAAAATGAAAAATAGACTCTTAACAAACTGATGGTTACCAGAGGGGTAGTGAGTGAGAAGTTGGATGAAATAGGTAAAGGAGATTAAGAGTACACTTATCATGATCAGCACTGAATAATGTAGAGAATTGTTAGATAACTATATTGTACACATGGAACTAATATAACACTTTGTTAGCTACACAAGAACTAAAATTATTAAAAATTGTGGGAAAAAAAAAGAAAAAGGGTCCACTAAATTGAACAAAGAGATTGTTAGTGACCTTGTTGAGAATTTCAGTGGAGTGGTAGGGACAGAGCCCAGAAGCTTATTGAATAAATAATCCATTGAGTAAAGTTCCCGGGAAGGCAGGAGACAGAATGCAGAGACTAGGCACAAAGAGAGGGGATACATGTAGAAATGTGTGCCTCAGATTTGGGGAGACACCTGATTCATTGTGATGTTTGAAAGGATAAATGTGGATGCAGGTAGGCTTATGAATATGGAAGCAGAAGTTGTTGGAGTTCTTCTCTGATTACTTTTATTTTTGCTGATGATAAATGATGGAGGGGTGCCTGGGTGGCTTAGTTGGTTAAGCAGCTGCCTTTGGCTCAGATTATGATCCTGGGGTCCTGGGATCAAGCCCCATGTGGTGCCCCACATTGGGCTTCCTGCTCAGTGGGAAGCCTGGTTCTCCCCTGCCTGGCATTCCCCCTGCTTTGTGCTTGCTGTCTGTCTCTCGCGCATTCTGTGTCAAATAAATAAATAAAATCTTTTAAAAAAATAAATAAATGGGGGGGGGGGCGCCTGGGTGGCTCAGTGGGTTAAGCCTCTGCCTTTGGTTCAGGTCATGATCTCAGGGTCCTGGGATCTGACCCCACATCATGCTCTCTGCTCAGCAGGGAGCCTGCTTCCCCCTCTTTCTCTGCCTGCCTCTGTGCCTACTTGTGATCTCTCTCTCTGTCAAATAAATAAATAGGATCTTTTTAAAAAAATAAATAAATAAATGAGGGAGTTGGTTTGAAAACAATGGAGAAAATCTAAAGTGGCTGTTGTGGAAAAGAGAGCTAACCAGGCAAGCAAGTATTGTTTGGCAAAGTTGAGGGCTCATTGGAGGTTGGACACTGTAGATATGTGGCCAAAACAATCTATATTGTCTATCTAGGATTTCAGGTCAGTTTTTTAAAAATCTGTTTTTGAATCAGAAGGTTAAGGTCTAGACTATATTTTATTAGCAAGTATGATACTGCAGACAGTGCAGGAGAGATTATAAAACTAATACAATAATTCTCTTATTTTCTCCATCCCAACATAAAATTTATAATACACATGTGTACATGTACATGCATTCTCTCTCTCTCTCTTTCACACACACACACACACGCGTGCGCACACACACACACCACACAAATTATATAACACGATTAGAACTCCTTATGGAGAAAGTTCTATAGATTGTCATCATCTTGTTGCCTGAAACCTTCCACATAATTTTCAGTGGACAGTAATGAAGCTATTATTGTGTGGGGTGCAGTTTGCGGGAGACCACGAACAATCCTGGGGCAAACAACTTACTATTTCTATAAAGAATTTATCCTTTTTCAGAGAGCAAAATAAGAAAATTCCATTGAAAGATCCCCCTCAAAAACATATATCAGTAGAGATGGGAGGCAAAGATTTTCATTATTTAGATTACATTAAACAATAATAGTATTCAGGATAATTTTATATTTTAAAATGTGCTATATATAGGTAACATTCATTAAATATTTATTATGGACTGGGCACGTTTAACTTTCACAAAAACTCCATTAGGTAAGTATCACTCCCATTTATAGCTTAGGGAACTGGATTACAGAAAGGTTGAGTAACTTGTCCTTGGGTATATCCATTGTAAATGGCAGAGCTGGGATTAGAACCCAGACAGTTTGACTTCAGAGGTCACATGTTTAAATTCCTGCCTATACTGCCTCTTCAAGGTGGGAGTTTAATGAAATTTCCTAAAGTAAAATGCCCTTTTGAAGTTTTGGAAAGTTAACACAATGACTGGTTGGACAGATGAGTTGTTAAAAGATGTTATGAGCAATGCAGTACAAGTAGAGACTAAGGAAACAATAGCTACCAAGACTCAAAATAAGCTGTTTCCTTAGATAAAATTTCCTTCATAAAAAAAAAAAAAATACTTGGAAACACTTCAAGTATACAATAGACTACAGAAAATAATTACAATTTAATACCCAAGTATTACATTCCCTTCTCTTCTTCTCAGGAAGGAATCACTATTCTGAATTTATCTATCACTTCCTTACATGATTTTCCCAATCTGATCTCAGATTTTGTTTTAAAATCTTTATTTATGATATACCATGTACATCTTTTTGCAATTTGCAGGGTTTTTTTTTGCTCAACATTATGTTAATGAACGTTATCTAAATCAATACTAGTAGATTTAGTTCATTAATTTCCGTTTAGTGTTCCATGTATGTCAGTTAGTCCAGTAGTGTAACTTAGTCATCCATTCTCCTGTAAGTGGATATTTAAGCTATTTCACTAATATAAGTAATGCTGCTATGAATATTCTTGCACGGACTCACGATAATTATTTATATATTACATATATTATGTAATATTCTATATTGAATGTATTTAATTCCTTAACATGCAGTTTAACAAGAAAGGTAATAACGTGCATGAACTATACAGCAAAGACAGGCATTAGTTCTCAAGAAAGGTATAACAGACCATGGGTTGTTCTGAGCAGAGCGAGGACTTTGACTACCGAGCGTTTTGGGGGGATACTCAAGGATCAAGCGACATTCATTACTACAGTATGACACCACACTTCAGTCTTTAATTATTCTTTCACTGTTACCCAATAGTTTCACGTGTGTTCATTCATTTTCTCAACTAGAGTATAGCTCCACCAGGAGGGAACCGAGAACCAACAAGGTGAGTTAACACGAGTGTGACCGTGAAGAGTCCGCAGTGGAAGCTGCAGCAGGCGACCTCTTGGCTGTGCCAGCCTACCAAAAAGTGACAGCGCCAGGCGAATGTCGGGGCAACCAGGACCTAATCTCACTTTCCACCTCAAGAGTCTTGGAAGCTGAGGACACGAGGATGGATGGAGGCATAGACACCTGCTCAAAGTGTCTCTCCACTTTCACCCACAATGCCGCCAGGTCAGTAGCTGGGAACAGAGGCTTGAACGCGACCCCACCCAGAGCGCACCTTCCCAGTCTGGCCTCTGCTAACCGGGCCTCTTTGCTTTACGCCAAATCCGTAACCAGGCGCTAAGGCCAACCCGGCGGCTTCTGCAGCTCCAAAACCTGACGTGAAATTGCGCGGGGCGGCACTGACAGAGGCCATCTTTAATTTGGGCAAAACCCCACCCTCATAGCCCACCGGCCACTCCCTCCCGTCTTCCCCAGGCTTTTCACCGACAAACGTAATGTGACTTAACCTTAGAGGCAGTGTTAAAGAAACACATATAGAGGCCTGACTATCCATGACCCTGGAACAGCCAAATCCCGCCAATATAAACATGGCGGCTAAGCCTGAGTAGCAAAAGAGCGCTGATGCCAGTGAAGTCATGTTCGAAATGGAGAGAGGCGTCGGGGCAGGGAGGGAGTAATCTCGCGAGATCGAAGCTGCCGTCCGCTAGGCCCGGAAGCCTCGTCTGAAGGGGCGGGGGCGGAGGAGGGAGCGGGAGTCGGGCGAGAGTCCGCCTGCTGTCGCCTGCGTAAGCGGGGCAGCGACGCCGGGCGGCTACGCCGCGAAACCGGCGTAGGCGGCTTTGGAGAATCGGCGGGCTGCGCTGCGCCCGGGCTGGTCGCGGAGGGGGGAGGGGATGTCGGTCAGTGCGAGATCCGCTGCTGCTGAGGAGAGGAGCGTCAACAGCAGCACCATGGGTGAGTCTCAGCTTTGGGCCGCTGCGACTCAGGTCGGCGGCTCCGGACTTGAGGGGGCTCTGCGGCCGCCAGATCGAGCTGGGGGAACGCCCTCAGACGATGTGGGGAGCTGCGGCCGAAGGAGGTGGGGTGGGCCGGCGGCGGGCCCGGGGCGCGGTGGCGGCGGGCCCGGGGGGAGGGGAGAAAGCGGCGGTGACAGTTTGAATTGAATGTGAGGAGAGCTGAGGCGGCGTTATTTCCTGTGCCGCGGCGGACGGGCCGGGGGAGCGGGGAGACGTGAGCAACGGCCTCGCCCGCCCCGCCGAAGCGGCCAGAGCGGAGTCGTCTCCGCCCGGCCCGGCTTCCGCGGCCCTGTTTCCTCCGGTCGGTGGCCGCTGCACCCGCCGCGGAGTTCCCCTCGTGGGGAGTGGGCCTGGCGAGGAGGGTGGGGACGTGTGTGCGCGCCTGGCTGAGGGTGCTGTGTGGGCCGGCCCGCGAGGGTGGCGGCGGGGAGGGAGGAAGAAGGATGCACTAGGCTGAAGCTGCGGTGGAGGCGGTGGCGGCTGCAGAAGCTCCGGCAGCCGCGTCGCCCCTTTGCTCCGCCTCCCCGCCTCTCGGGGTTTCCTTACCCCAGGCGCGGCCCCGAAGGCCGGTGGATGGCGGGCGAGGCTTGAGTGCGGAGGCTAAGGAGCTGGTTTGTGCTTAATTTTTAGGAAAAAGAGGAAAGAGAACGCCTGGGAAGGGCGCCCCCACCCCTCCCGAGGAATGGAAAGGGTGGGAAGGGTCGCTGGAAAAGGGACGAGTTGGAAATATTGGTGATGTTTAAGGAAATTAATTTTTTGAAAATATTTCAGTATTTTCAGTTATTCTCTTCTGAAGCCTTTTCATTTCCTTTCCTCCCCCACGTATTGGAAAAAGAACAAGGCCATTTCATTCACATTTTCCACTCCTGAGTTCCATTTCATACTGTGTGTATAGTAGGAAATAAGCCACTGAGATTTTTCTAACGCATTTCCATTTGCTAAGTTACATTTTCAGAGTGCACTGTTTCAGATCTTTTTTTTTTTTTTTTTAATACAGTGGAGGGAAAGAATATTTAACGTCCAGGTGTTAGCTAAGTTACTGAAATAACTGGTGAGTTTGTGGTTAAAGTTAAACTTTAAGATTTATTTTAGCTTTGTTATTTTGATGGAATGGAAGAATACCTTGCTGAGTGCCCTTGAGAATTTAAATGAACATATAATCTAGATTGAGAAGTATTTTACTTGTTTTATGTATTTACGTGAGGAGTATAGTCAGTCGTCGTCGTCTCCCACTCCCCAAGTATATAAAAGCAAGTTGAGGAAGAAACTTTTTGGGCACTAAGTGTACAGATACAGATGAAATTTATGGAATCCTGATAGACTGAAAGATGATGTCTTAGCAGGATAAAAATTACTAAGCTAGTTACTGCTGCCCGGATCCCTATTCCTCCAAATAGCAAGTGAAGGGCCTGGGGGAAGGCAGGAAACTGTCTTTCATCCCACCCAGCTGTTCAGTGGGTGGGGCTAGAGGAGATAGGATTGAGTGGAGCTATGAAATAAATGTGGAAGCCACATAGATGGTTTGTATGGTAGTAGTGTGTCATTCTGTGATGGGACAACATGGTGGAGCCAAGTTCTCCTCATAGAGTTATTAAAAATATCACAAACCCTCTTAGGCTTGCAGAATGGAAGATCATAATTGATAATAGAAATTTATTTTGTGTTTATGTCAAATAGATTTTAATTTACAGAAAGGATATTTTTGTAATTTGGTTAAGAATTTTTGGTTTCTGGTTTTGATTTGGAGAAGGTTTTCAGTACATCAGCTACATGAAAGGTAGTGTTATCAATAGATTGTTTCAGAAGTTCGTTGTAAAATTGGTTGCTTGCATTTGCGCATTTTCCCACAGAAATAATCTTAAATAAGTGTATGCTAGAACTTCTGAGCTAGTCTAACACAAGGTAAGACTCCTGACATGTTAGAACAATTGTAGAGGGTTAATGTCAACAACACAGACACACTGCACACATAAAACTTGGGTAGGAGGAAGTTAGATCTGTGGTTTTCAAGGTCTCAGTAATGGGGGTGGTCAGGTGACATAGACCATTCAGAGGAAGATAGTGGAGAGTAGGTTGGCCTCAGACTTCTTGTTGATGATACACATACTCACTATAGATTCTATTCTAGGAATTGCCAGTAGGGTACTGTTCTATGACTAAATTACCAGCTGAGAACCATGTCTTACATTCTGAGCTAATAAGCTCTCTGCAATTTTTTATGAGAGGGTGAAAAATTTTAACTTTAACATGTATGTATTTTACTGAATTTTGAGGCAAAACTAACTTTTTAAAAATGTGTGTGTTTTTCCTTGTAACTAAATCTGGACTGTAAATGACACTAAATTTATTGTGCCATGAAATGGATGTAGGAAAAAAATGTGTGTTTGGAGTAGAATTGTAAGGTAGCATGATTATGGGTTACGCTTGCCAGATGAGACCATAGTGTTAAATGTAGACTATTGGTCTCTACAGCAATGTTTTGCAGACTGCAGGTTGAGGTCTGTTAGTGGGTTTTGAAACCAATTTCATGGACATGTAATAATTTTTAAAAAAGTAGGAAGGAAAGAGAAGATAGCAGTACATTGCACGTAGCATGAATTTTAGGCAGGGTTAAATTTTGTTTTGTATGTATTGTGTATTGGGTTGGGTTATAACATTTTTATTAAGAATTGTGGTCAAAACTAGGAAAACACATGGGGGATGTGCAGCATGGATGGGTCAAGTCAGAGGTCTTTAAACATTATGGTATAGTGTGGAGATCTTGGTCTGAAAAGGAGGATATTAAGATTTTATTTATTTATTTATTTGAGAGAGAGAGAGTGCAACAGAGAGCATGAGCATGAGGGAGCAGAGGGAGAAGCAGACTCCCCGCTGAGCAGGGAACCTGTCATGGGGCTTGATTCCAGGACCCTGGGATCACAATCTGAGCTAAAAGTAGACACTTAACCAGCTGACCCACCCAGGTGTGAGAAGTGAAGACTTTAAATGCTGTTAAGTCCATATGACTTTTTCTTATCTTGGATTTATTTATTCTGTACTCCATACATGAAATGTGGTTAGAGAGATCTGGAACTTACTCCTTGAGAGGAGGTCATCATTTCCAAGACCCAGAGAAACCAGAATGGGTCCCAAAAGAAGATAGTATTGTTTAGGGCCTCTACTCTAGACTTTGAGGGGTAATATACATACACACACACACACACACACACACACACACACACACACACACACATATGTATATGTATACATATATAATTTATAATATATAATAAAATTATCATTTTAAAAATTTAATTATTATTTTTTGTCTTGTCCATTTACATCATCAGAAATCAAGAGAGCCAAGTTTTGGGCATGAGCCTGAGGGAGGGGGGCCAAGGAGGCAGCTTGGTTTGCTTTCAGTGTTGAAGGCTTTAGGCCAGACATACAGAAGGTCCTTTTGATTTGTGCTGGTGCAGTTCAGTTCTCCAGAGGTAGTATTACATATAGGGATTTGAGTTCAAAGTGATAACAGACAAATGTAGTATAATGATTAAGAATATGGGCTTTGGTGTCAAGCAGACATGAGTTTAAATCCTGGCATTGCTTACTAGATGTATCAGTTAGGATGCAGTTAGGATACTGCTTTTCAAACTGACAAAGGACCTTTTCTTTCCTGTTTCTTTTAAAGTTTCTAATCCATTGTTGACTGATACTATTGCAAAAACTACTGCAAATTTTTTAAAAAATGAAGATGAATTTAAAGAAGGGGAAATACAGTCCGAATGTTTTTTCAATCCCAACAGACAAATTTATTTTGCTATAAAAATTTTCATTTCTGTGCTCTTAGTTTCTATACTTCTGTGGTGTAATCCGATAAACAGTTCAGACTGGCTCACTGGTCCACATACCACATTTTAAATAGCACTGGGTTAGACTATGCTGCAGTAAGAAGTAGCCCTAAAAAATCTAAGTGAAGGTAGCTAAAGATGAGGTTTTGCCTGTCGTTCCAAAGTTTATGTATTTTATTGGGGCAAGTGTCTCTTAACTTCAAAAGTACCTTCAAAAGGCTGAGGAGAATTAATAAGTATCCCCTGAGGTTGGGGAGAGTAAATAAGTAGGAGAGTAAATAAATAACCCCAAAGTTGTTTCTGTTCACATTATTTTGAATTAAAAAAAATCTTATTCATGTTACATTTACATTTTATTTGTTTGCCTTATATGCAGTGTAAACAGGCTTTCTCCCTCCTTCTTCCCCACCAGTCTGGAAGAAAAAATTGATTCTCCTGAAGAGGTGACATGTAAATTCTGTTCTGTTTACCTTTGGGGTCACAACTGAGTACTTTTGGTAGCTTCATTTGAGAGGGGAGGCTCCAGGTCAGAATTTTTCAAATTTGACACTATCGTAGTTTGGAGTTCTATAATTGTTTGGGGGGCTGTCCTTTGCATTGTACAATGTTTATCAACATCCCTGGCCTCTACCCACTAGATGCCAATAGCACTCTCCCAGTTGTGACAAAAAAAATATGTTTGCAGACCTTGCCAAATGTCATGGGGTGAGGGGGAGGGGAGAGAATCACCCCAGATTGAGAACCACTGTGCCAGGTGATGGAGAAGCCTTTGAAGAATCATAGGAAACAGAAGAAGGAAGTCTTTCTTAACCATCTAGTCCATAATTCTTCCTCTTAGAGCTCTCACCATATTTCTCAAAATTGGTAATCAGAATCATCTAGGTAGCATGTGTGTGTGTGTGTGTATGTATGTACGTATGTAAGTTTATCATTTAATTCATGAATTTTTGTGAATGTGATCATTAGTTAACTGGATGCATAACATTATGCTAGGTCAGTATTTTCCATAGTATAATTGATAAACCTCATGCATCAGGATCAACCACAGCCTCTTGTTAAAAATGAAGATTAGTTCTCACCACATGTGCAGTGATTCACAGTCTCTGAG